AGCCCAAGACATCAAAGTTTGAACCCCTAAAATTAAGGAGAAAAGTGTGACTTTGCTTTGAATTGAATCCAAGTAATTGGATGGAAATAGATGATTCATATTCATAGAACTTAACTGATAAAGCGTGAATATCCTTCATGTAAATATGTGAGGTCAGAAAGAAGTATTTTGGATTTCAGAGATTTTCTTATTTTGGACTATTTGCAGAGTCTATCAATTGAGCAAAAAGCCCAAAATACAAAATGCAATAAAATTTACAATGTTTTGGCATCACATAGCTGCATTTGGGATTTTGGATGTGTGTGTGTACTCATAAGGTGAGCAGCACAATACTAAACCTTGACATAAAGTTCAGATCGCCACAGGAAACAACATCATGTTCATACATGAAAGGATGAATAACAGTTCTTTTGACTAAAAAGAATCCTAAATTACGCAATGACAGGAATTTCATAAACAGACCAACCAACAGATTTTCATCCCCCCCCCCCGCCCCGTCCTCCCCTTATTCCTAAAGCAGCTGTTGGCCAGTGAATAGCAAAAAACTATTCAACTGTTAGGCTGCTCCATCTCTCTCTACTCCTGTTTCCTGAGAATGAGGGAGATATTTAAAGGAGGGTCCCTAAAAAAAAAGAAGACAGTTTCTGAGAATTCACAAGAATTTTATATGTTCTATAGTATTTATGGGTAAGAAAATATTAAGTTTGGCCTACACCTCTCTAGAAACCAAAATCATATTGCACAGGGCTGTGAGAAATAATCAAGACTGGAAAGTATCTGGGAAATACACAACTGTACAGGCTGAGTCTGCCTGATTTATTATTTCATCATTTCAGAGCAAACATGCTTTGCTACAAGGTGTTTGGAGCCCAAATTTACCTGCTGAAAACATTTCTGGGAGGAAGCAGTAGAGGAATAACAGTATTACTCAAGCATTCGCAAAGCGGGCAGAGGAACTCTCCATTCTCTACATCATAGCTTGTGTGTATGCGTAATCTCTGTTGCCTTCTCTGCTCTTTAGCTTGAACGGAATCAAAATACCTTTACAATCAGAGAACACATGGTATCAAAAACAATGGTATGTATTTCAATTGAAAGTGACAAGCTTCAGCACTTAAAATAATTTCCACAAGTATTATAAAAATGAACTAGGGGCTGGGGAGATAGCTCAGTAGAATAAGCACTTGCTTGGCAAGTGCAAGGGCCTGAGTTCAATCCCTGGTTCTGCCAAAAACAAAACAAAACGAAACTCCTAAATTATTTTTAATACTTGGTATTGACTTTTGAGATGTTTTAATAAGCAAAACAGATTTAGTAGGAGGCAACAAAACTGAGTTGCAAATAAGCACATGGACATCCATAACAGAAATTTCCACCTGTTATTGTCTGGGAGCTTCTCCAGGGGCAGCTTGGAACAGCTCCCTGAGCACAGCACAGAACGACAGCACTGGCTGCTTGGCTTTGGAGGCATGGAAAGCTGTGAGGCAGAGCAGGAGCAAGGTTATCCCACCTCGGCACAAGAAATCCTTACAACTTTGGGAAACAAATAGGGACTAATCAAGAGCTGCTCACTTTGGACCCAAAGAAAGGCAACATTACTTTTTCAGGATAAAACACCTTTTTTCTCTTCTAGTTTGTTACTTATACAGATTTACTCCCTTGTTTGGAGAGATAAACAGACTCTGTTATAAAAAGACATTAAAATTGTTTTGATACACTCTTGCGCTTGCCAGGGAAGCGCTTATTCCACTGAGCCATCTCCCCGGCCCCTTCATTATAATTCTTAATTTAATTCTAATTAATTAAAGCCTCGCTTGACTAATATGAAGAATATAAGTTACCTTTGCCAACAATGGGCATGCATAATGTGCCCACAGCTACCAGTGTGTGTTCCACAAGACAGATCAGGGTGCATGAATAATGGATCATACTTTTCTGCATTACAAAACAAAACAAAACACAACAAAAAAGCACTTAATTTTCCTATTACAAATATGCAACTTAAAATTTGTGAAATCTCTGATAAGGACTTATAAACTTCAAATGAAATGTTAGTTTATTCCTTTCATTTAAATTATCATTAATTTATACAAGATCCTGAATTATTTAGAAAGCAAAGTCACAAGAAAATATCTAAGCCCACACCAGGGGAAAAAAGTAATTCAGAATACTGTGCTCTGGTACTAATGTTTATACTCAAAAAGAGATGAAAAATCAAGACAAGATGGATGCCTGGCTTCTTTGGGAGTTTTAAAACTTCTTTATATAAATTAGTACAAAATGAAAGCTGTCAGTCTTTTAGAAAGGATGACTAAAGTTTCAATGTGCTTTATATATTCTGACAATGCAAATGTTATTTTATAAAGTATATTATGATATTAATTGTGAAGGCTTTTTCTTTAGGAAGTCACAGATCATAGTTACTTTTTTTTTTTGCAGCACTGGGGATTGAACTCAGGATGCTGCGCTGGCCAGGCAAGTGCTTATTCTACTGAGCTATCTCCCCAGGCTCATAGATCACAGTTAGAAAATTGTCTTTTTGGCTTGAATTTGTGAATCCGCTAGTGCAAAGAACCTTTTTAGTTTGTTTTTTGAGACTGCCTTGCTATGTAGTTCAGGCTGGCCTTGAATAGCAGCAATCTTCCTGCCTCAGTCTCCCAAGTGCTGGGATTATGGGTGTGTACCATCTGGCTTCAAAAAACCATTTCTGAAGATAAAGTAGGCCAGTGTTTCACAGCCAGTAGCCCCACAGTTACATCAAGATGGCCATCTTCACTGGGAGAAGGCAATCCTGCTCAAATGCTCCATCCTACATGGTGAGCAGCTCTGCCAACAAAATGCTTTGGAAGTGCTAAGACTCAGTTCCTACCCGAAGCAGCTTACTGGTCTTGCCCACAGGCACATGCATGCTATTCAGCAGGCAGAAAGCAAGCTGAGGAGTAAACATGCACAGTCCAGACCCCAGAAGCTACTGAACTCCCCTGGCCATGGGAAGAGGAATCCTAACTCATTCCTCTCAGAGCACTGTTGCACTCAAGTCAAACCTTGTTTCAGGGTAGCCTGCAGCCAGTCACTTCTCCATGTTGGGCACGCAGTGTGAGTTTCCCCTGGGCTCCAGGAGGCCTTTGAGAACTGCACAACAGCTCACGCCTACTTTCTTCCCCAAGATGTTCACCCCCACCTGCCCATGAATGTCCTGCACAGTGATCTCTTGTCAAGGCTGCTTTCTGGGGAACCTATCTGTAACAGTGTCATTATCTTCTATTGGAACCTGGCTCCAGACTCGCTGTTTGTATGTCTCTGCAGCACGCCTCTTCAGCAGCCTGGCTCTATTTATAAGACTATGCAATTGCTGCCATTCAATGTCAGCACCTGTTGAAGACTTCACAAGTATCCTGGAAGACAGGAAAGACTGGGAGGTACCGATGTATGTGAATGTCACATTACAAAGCTAAGTTTTTCTTTGAACCTTTACTACATAGTCATCAAATGGCTGATCCCTGTCACTCTCCATGGATGAGCCTGTGGAGTTGTTATCAGATGGAGGAAAACTCGTAACACCAATCACACTGGCTGGCAGCCATGAAGATGAAGAGGAAGACCTAGTTATGATTTACCTGGATCCTCAATGAATTTATTTCTGTTTTTTGATAATACAGTTGATCTTTGGACAAATGCTGCCAAGACCATGGCTCTACTTTCCACATTAACTTCTTGCTCCTCTTGACATAATATACAGGTGACAAACTCTTTGTTTTCAGGGACCCGTGTCTGTTCTGGGCCGAGGGCTGTAAGGGTCATACCTGAAACCACAGGGCTGCAACAAAAAGATCAGGAATGAATGAATGGGCCTAGGAAGTTTCTGCCTAAGTATCAACACTAGAGTCTAGAATGCATGTACTTAAACATTATTTCCGTGGCTTGCGTCACAGAAGTCTTTCACATGTAGAAAACCCCCTCCTTAACTTCCCAGCACCCCACCACAGACCTTGGGCACCAGGTGTTGAGCCTTTACTCCTCTGTGACCATCAAGTCTGGTGTCAACAATACCATTTTAAATGTACAGGTGAGTTAACTAGCTGACCTAAAGTCAGAATGTTCTCCAGGAAGCGCCTTTAAACTGGAGGACACAAAATTTACTTATAATTCTACTAATTACTTTAGATTAAAAAATGTACTTATAAGGAAAAAAGTAATACTGCCTAGGTGAGAACCACTGACGAAGAGATTACAACTTATGCGTATTCTGTTAAGAAAATACCTGCTGTTAAGAACCGTGGTGGAAGAGCCATCTAGTTCTAACGTTTGCTGGAAGAGCTCTTTGTTCTCATCGATAAAGTTCCGCTGCATCTCAGACATTTGTGCCATGATCTTTTCTCTTCGCAGTCTGGCAATTTCTGCTTTTCTCTTCCTCTCAGCTTTGTCTTTGTCCTTTGAATTCTGAAATTGATTCATCTGATTATAACATCAGATGTGAAATACATTTTTCCTCAAAGCAAAAATACCTTCACTATAAATACCAATTAAAACTATTCTATAATCTTACTTGAACAGAAGAGATACTTTTTTTTTTTTTTTTTTGAGACAGGGTCTCATTAGTTTAGGCTGGCCTTGAATTCACTGTGTACCTCAAGCTGACCTTGAACTCATGGTAATCCCCTGCCTCAGTCTCTCAGAGTATTGCAATTATTGGTGTGTAGCACCATGCCCAACAAACAGAAGATTTTGTTTTGTTTTAATTTTCAACATATTTGGTATAGGGTCTTACTATGCAGTTTGGCAGCTGAGATTCGTAGTGATCCTCCTGTTTTCAGCCTCCCCAGCGCTGGGATTAGAGGCATGCCCCACCACACCCAGTCTGCTGGCTGGCTCAGTGTACGGGGGAGGGGGCGGGGGCGTGGCTGGCGTGGCATGTGGTGCCAGGGATGGAACCCTGGTCCCTGTGCTTGCCTAATCAGGCCGCTTAGTCTACTAAGCCATCTTGCTGGCCCTAAAAATTCTTAATTAACCTAACGTACTTTATAAGAAAGAGCAAACTAAACCAAAACAAAAATAAAATAAACACCAGAACAAATAAATAGTGGGACATTTCTTAGAATGCAAATGTTTGCAAATAGTATTAACTTACTACAGTTTTTAATATTAGCATATTTTACATTTTTTCCTTATTTTTATTTTTGCAAAGCTTGGATTGAATCCAGGACCTAGAACATGTTCGGTAAGTTCTCTATTGATGAACTACAACTACAGCCCCCCACTTTTTTTCTTCTGGCAGTACGGGGGTTTGAACCCAGGACCTTTGCACTGAACTATATCCCTGGCCTTTTTTATTTTGAGATTATGGTCTCACTAAGTTGCTAAACTGCCTAGGATGGGTTTGAACTTGAGGTTCCTCTGCCTCAGCTTCTCTAGTGCTGGGATTACTCAGTGCACACTTCTTGTACCTCCTCCATTATGGTTCCTTCTGCCTCTGCCACAGGACTGGTAGATGAATTCTTTCTTATCTTCTTAATTGTATTAAAAGTCTATCAGAAAAAAAGTATCAGTTAGCCTAACATTACCAAACACTGCAATACACACATAACAAATACCTAATGTTTCTCACAAAACATGGGGCAATGCACCATTACCTTTAATATCCACCGAATCATGTCTTTGTGGACCTCTAGGTAGGGTGCGTTCTGTAGTGTCTCCAACATGGCCAGGATGCTTGGAGAGTTGTTCGGTGCTTCCCCAGGCTCTAAGGTGGAAAGAGTGAAAGGCACAATTACAAAGCAAGTGCAGCGGGCACAATGCTAGTCCCCGGCACCACTTTCTCGTAATACCTGTGCTCATCATTTATGGCGCTGCTTGTTAGAAAGTCTCAACACCTGAGGACATGATGTACTTCACAAACACACTTTAACAACTACAATTCTTTCAGTGTTAAAAACTGACTTCTTATACCTAACGATTATTTTAACATAGTCTTTGGCAATATTAAATAAAAATGCAGCTAAAAAACCTCCAAAACTGGTCTACTCAAGATTTTATGTCTAAGGAAACCAACCAGGATTACAGAGATGCAAATATGCATAAATGTAACAGGTTACTTGGAACTTTCAAGAAAAGCTAGATTCAAAATGAGATAAATTTCTTCCCTTAAGCTTGGTTGCAAACTGAATTAGGTAGCACCAGAGTAAATGTACCCTTATGGATTTGCAAAGCTGGGATTGAATCCAGGACCTAGAACATGTTAGAATCATTTATTCCAATACTACCTAATTCAGTTTGTAACCAAAAATGTCCAGTTACGGATTTTCTTGACTTATGTGCTACTATTTTGGCAAACGTGCTTCTTTCCTAAAATGGGAAGGACTGAATGTGTCATTTCTAATATTCTTCCTGGTCTAAAATTCTATGGCTATGCATTAGGGACCTGTCTCTAGATAAGGGAGAGGTTTCTCTGCAAATAAATGCATATTTTATCTTATTTATGTAATGTTTCAAAAGAAGTAAAAGTAATGGCCAGAGAAAATGACGACTGCTTAAGACAGACAGATAAGAGAGAGAAGCTTGGGGTTGGGGAGATGGCTCAGTAGAAATAAGCGCTTGCCTGGCAAGCACAAGGGCCGAGTTCAATCCCTGGTTCTGCCAAAAAAATAAAAAATTAAAAAATAAAAAAAAGAGAGAAAGAGAAACTGACCTCTCCTGTGGTAAGGAGACAGGTCAGGGAGTGTGTGGTTACTCCACAGGAAAAGCACAGAGACAAAGGTGGCGAAGGCACAGTGTCCACGCACAGTCTGGAGAGTGTATTGAAAGCTGCACCCAACGAGATGGCCTTTAGTGGGGAGAGCCAGCGTCCCCTTGCTCTTCTTTACTTGGAAAGGCAAAAGAGAAAACTAGAGATTCTGCAGCAAATAGGACAACTTCCTACTGGTTGTCTGGGAAGAGAATACAACATTCTCATAGTCCTTGTGATTTAGGAAGAAAGTTAGAGAAATAATCCCTTACTAGAAATTCAGAACCCCTATCGCAGCACCATGAATCATCTATAAGTGCCCTAGCAGATGGTTGGCTGCAGGTCTGGGCAAGGAAAGGGAGGTGGATCCTGGGCTCCTTCTGCACCAGAAAGAAAAGTGATGCTGGAACATGAATAGGCCGGGTGAGGGCAGCCCAGAAGTGGATGACTGGTTCCACACTGACCAGACACACTCCATCTTGGCCTCTGAGGAGTAGTCATTGTAACTGATTATAAAGCAGCCAATAAAGAGGAACGCATAAGTATTTTCCTTGTTTATGTACGTATTTTCTTAAAAAACGTACATAAACAAGGAAACTTCAAAGTTCTACCACTGTAGATGATTACTGAACCAACTACTTATGGTAAAGGAAATTTTTTACCTATGGTGCTGGGGATGGAAACCAGGACCTTGTACATGCTAGGCGAGGGCCTTACCACTGAGCTACACCACTAGCCCAAAGAAAGGCTTTTCATTAAGAAGCAAAATGTTATGATGTCTGTGGTACAAGGTTCAAGAAAGTGTGTGAATATAAAAGCTAAAATACCACAATACTAACTACTGAACCTAGTGCTAAATATAGAGATGCTTAATGTACAATTCTCTTTTAACTGGTCTAATGTAAGTTTTAAAAATAAAAAGTTAAGAAAAAAAAAAAAAAAAAAGCTAAGGGCCAGGGACATGGCTCAGTGGAATAAGTGCTTCCCTGGCAAGTACACGGGCCTGAGTTCAATCCCTGGTTCTGAAAAAAAAAAAAAAAAAAAAAAAAAAAAAAAAAAAAAAAAGCTAAGAAAAACATCTCCCTAGCCTTCTTAAAAGACAGTCACCTTACTTTATATAAAATGAAAATCCAATTTTCTGAGTTACTTTATTTTCACTGCACTCTTAAATTTTTATGGTAACAGCAATAATTTAAAACTGAAATTCTAACAGCACACTGTGTTTTTAAAAGTTAATCCTAGAAATAAATGTGCTATTTCAATTTCAAAGTAAGAACTTTTTTTTTTTTTTGCTGCTAGTAACTTACATATGCACAGGTCATGTTGTAAGTGTGTGGCTGGGGATTAAATCCAGGGCCTTCACAATGAGCTATATCTCTATCTCTTTTTCTATTTTTTGAGAAAAGGTCTTGCTAAGTTGCAGACTGGGATCAAATTTTCATTCCTTTTTTTTTTTGGTGGAACCGGGGATTGAACTCAGGCCCTTGTGATTGCCAGGGAAGCGCTTATTCTACTGAGCCATCTCCCCGGCCCCAAACTTGCATTCCTGCCTGAGTTTCTGGAGTGCTGGATTATAGATGGGCACCACCATACCAATTTGGTATTTTTATAACAGGATCTTACGTAATACTTTCATTATACAGATGAATACATGTTACCTCAAATATTTGGATTCAATATTACCCAATTTAGAGCTTATATGACCAAACAAAAGAGGTTATAAGTGATTATTTAAAATCACTTATATTGAGTTAGTTTAGTAAAAGGTATATACATACTTGAAATCTTCTGAGTGAAGGTAAATGTTACTACATGTTCTTCCATGGCATTCTCTAAATGTTGTTTTTCTTCTTGTAGTGCCATTCCAATTAAATGTAACACCTCAAATAAAATATGTTTTGTAACTTTTAGTAAAAAAATTAAGCATGTACTTTTATAAGAAATAAAAAAGGAATTAGTACTCATAAATCAACCTATTAAAGATTAACTGTACTAAAAACATTTAGTATTAATTTTTATTAAACTCAAAGACCAAAAGTTCATTTTCTAATAAAGATCCCTGGCAAAGAAAACAAAATTTTCCGTTTCAGTGAGGATCAAACTTCAAGTGCAAATTCTTAATGTAAGCTACAGTTACCTGTGTGACCAAGCAAGTACTATAATACATCACTTTCATACTTCTACTAAGGTCCAGGAAAAAAGTCTAATAATCAGTGGCCAAAGAAATACACAATTTGAGGCACCTACCACATCATCATTCAGCCTGACACTACCTAGTTCCATTTCATTTTTTAAAGACTAAATCGTAATAATCTGAAAAAGACCTACTTTTATCTCTGATGTCATACAATCATTATAATGTTGATAGTTCTTTAGTATATCTCACAAAAAAGTTCCTTACCAGATTTCTGAGGCAGCACACAACTACACGGAGCCTATTTGTATTTTTACTGCTCTTACTCTGCTCCCAGGGTTTGAAGCAGACGGCTGTGTGGTGTCTCTGTTCCATCCCCACATACAGGGCGACCAGCAGTCAGCGACCAGGAAGAGCCAGGTGAGCCAGCCTGAGGCACATGTGTGTCAGGAAGGTGGACCCTACACGCGCATACTTCCTTGTTTCTTGCTTCCTGCACACGCTGTGCTTACTCACCTGCTTTTAGACTTCAAATACATGCTTAAACAGGAGGGTGTGGAGTGCTCTCAAGCTTCAGAGCACTGAGAAGGGGTTTTGGGGACTCTCTGAGATGATGCCTTTTCATTATTTTTTTGATGGCATCCAGGGCCACTGTATGGAACTATATCCCCATCCCTTTCTTATTTTTTAAATTTTGAGACAGGATATTGCTAAGCTGCAAAACTGCTAGGCTGGGTTTCAACCTGTGATCCTTCTGCTCCAGCTTCCTACTGTGCTGGCTTTGTAGGCGTGTGCTACCATGCCTGGCTTATCAGCTTTAACTTCGAAACAACTTTACAGCTTGAGGGTGATTAATACTGTGTGTAAAGTGTCTAGTACAGTCAGGCATTCTAACTGAGTAACTACTGTCACTTACTAATTGAGTAACACGGGCAGTGCATAGCCTTAATTAAGGCTGCTCATTTATGCAGCGAAAAAACTGTTCATGGAGTGTGTTTGAATTCAACAAGATAATGTCAGAATCACTTACATCAAAACTATAAAATAAGATTCAAATGAATTTCTAGACCTGCTGTTTCTTAAGTATACAGGAAAATAAATCTCCAACTTATTAACATGAATTAATATTATGCGCTGGGGATGTGGCTCCGTGGTGCCCTTGCCTTGCATACAGAAGGCCCTGGGTTGATGCCCAGCACCACAAAAAAGGAGGAAAAAATATGGGTAAAGACGAAAGCAAGTTTTCAGAGAGAATCAAATGTGACACATATCAAAATTAACAGATGACATCAGAAGCACAGTAGTACACATCTAAATGTAACACCTCATACAAAATGTTTTGTAACTTTTA